CAGCGAGTAATTTTACGTCTAGAAAACCATATTTCAACCGTTTTTACGATTTTTAGTAAATTGACTATTTTTACGATTTTACTACCGCTCACCTTCAAAAACTCAAAAAATTCAAAATTTTTGAAACTAGACCCAATGTCGTTTTATGCATTTATTTGAGTCTATAAGACCTCTAGAAATGTAAAAAACGTTAAATGGATAAATTTTAAAGTTAAAAATTTTTTTGATTTTTGTCGAGATTTTGGTCGATTTTTGGCACCCGGAGCGGTCTAATGGCAATAAATCCGGACTTATTGGAGAAAACCTCTTGTATTTGGTACCGTTGGATAAAAAAATTAATTTTCTATCATACACAAAAAAGATCAGTGTTCTACGATAAATAGTTATCGAGAAAATTAAAAATAGTGTCTGACTTACTTGTAAAGCCACGTTTGAGACGAGGAACCCTCCACACTGCCATAAATCGGACTCGGAAAGTCAATTTCCTGCATTTGTGACACAATATAGCGCGAAGTCAACAAAGGCAACATCAATTCCTGCTGACTCTCGGGGAATTGTTTCCATAAATCGTTCCGAGCACTAGACGCGTCCGATGAAATTTCGTAATTTTTCAGAATTTCCTGAATTGCGACCGCGAAGCGGTCCAAATTCTACAAAAAACGCAAAATTTTCTCTTTTCACATTTTATTCATCAAGAAGATAAAACTTGAGTGTTAGTTAATAATGTGAAATGTTTATTATACAGGGTGTCCCCGAAAAAAAATTCACTTACAACTGTATTTTTCTCGCCTTGCAGCGCCCTCGTGAGCTCATTCAGTGCATTAGTAATAAACCCATCATCGTCCATAAAAAACGTGAAGAAACGACTATTCTGTGCATATTTTCGGGGTAGATGTGAGGGTTCGACAGCCCCCAATTCTCCAATAACCTCCCCACACGCCAACTTAAGCATGGGGTCCTTCTCCCGACACCCCAACGTTAAAACCTCAATCAATTCAACAATAATCGGATCAATTCCATTATACCCCAAAATCATCTGATCCAACTCCTCGCGATTCTTCTCCATCAAACCCTTCAACTGTTTCAAACTCCTCACACGCACTTCAACCGTCTCGTGTGTTAAATATTTCAAAAAAATACGCATTTTCTCCTTCAAATCACAATCATCGAATTTTCGCACATATTTTCGTATTGTTTGTAACACCAAAGCGTCAACTTTCGGATCATCGACAAAAAACAAATCCTTAATCGAATCCTTTGCTTGCATTTCATTTTCAACCACAAGAAATTTGAAAATATCGTTGATTTTCCTCGGATTTGAGTCGATCAAAGGCAGCAATGAAACGAAAATCGTGGCCAATTGCGTGGCTAAAGTCCCCACTTCGCAACTGCGAATGAACGCCTCCCAAACGTCACAATTCAAATCGGGGAAATCCCCACAATCGGGCGTGCGCAACATGGCGATGACCTTGAAACGAAGCGGTGTCACGTGACTCGGCCCCATAAACGTCAAAAAATCAGCCAAGCTGAGTAAAATCGCCTCTTTGCGATTGGTGTTTTTCGCCATGAGTTTGAAATCAAAGTGTTGCAAAAGGCCCAATAGGCGCGCTTGGAGGTACTCGCGAACGTCATCTGTTCGCGTTTCGGCGTCCTCATTGGCTAGAAAACGCAACGCGAGTAACACCTTCTCGCGTTTTTCGTGAAAATTGAGTAAAAGCTCGTTGAGGATCACCCAAAGGTTGCGTTTTCGCAACGTTGCAGATGGCAACCCTGTTATTTTCTCCAAGTAGAGTGTCGATTGTTTAAAATCGTCTTTTGTTTCGTTGAGGAAAATGTGGAGGAAGATGTTTCCGTAAATGCTCGCTAACAATTCGGGTAAACCGACGTTGACTAGTAGCGCCATCTGTTCGATTAGTTTCCCCACAACGGGACTCTTAATCACTTTAGAGACGAAAAATGGTAACAAGTGTTGACACTCTCTAGTGATAAAATCCTTCAAACTGTAAAACTCTAAAGTCACTGAGATTTTACACAGCGACGTAGCGAGTGGATAATTGATCAAAGTCTGGTTTACAATACACAAATGTGTGATGATTTCGCACATGTCACGCTTGTATTTTTTGTATAGTTGGCTGGGTGTGGTGTTATGAATCTCAGCCAACATGAAAAATTTATTCACGGCGATTAGTGAATATTTCGATGTTGGTATCATAATGAAATACACCAAAATTCGAATTGTCGGTAAAACAGTTTTCTCACATTTAACCTCACAAATTTTTTCAATTGTAAATAAGAGTGTCTCTTGTAATTTAAAATCAGAAGTTTGAATACTCTTCTTAGCAAGCCTCAATAAACAATTGCAGAGAATTTCAATTGTTTCATCCTTGATTGTGTCACTCAAAACTGGATTTTCTTGGTTGGATTTAACGATTTTTGGGACGACTTGTGCAAACATTTTTCTGATTGTTTCATCAGAATCGCCCATTTTTTCAACCCAAATTTTAGCGACGTTGCCAGAATGAAATTTGAGGATGTGATTAGAGCAAAACGGCAATACCTCCAAAGCTTTCAATTTGAGTTCCCGGTTGTCAAAGTTGAGAAATTTGAGGATGTTTTTCAAGATGGCGCTTTGTAAACTCGTCAAATCGATTTGAATTCTCGCAAAGTGACACTCACTTGTTTTTTGAGGGTGACATTTCTCACAAAAAATCGAGATTTTTAACCGACAATCCTCAATTCGTGTCGTTTTGACAAAACCACTCGAGGAAATACAAATAATGTCTGGTAAGGCTTCAGTCACCTCCCTCAAAATTTCCTCATCATTTGAGGAAATCGCCGGGATGAGGATCTCCGAAATCACCCGATCTGGGTTTTGGAAAACCGTCAAAATATTCCCCAAATTCCTCAAAACCCCCACTGTGTTGACTTGTCTGGAAATTTGCATAAAACTCGACTCAATTTCAAACATTTGAGTGATTTTATTCGAAATTCGAGCCAAAAATTCGTTCAAATATTTAAAAGCAACTTGTTTTGTGGTGTTACAAGTGAGAAATTTGCAAAATTCAGTCAATTCCTTCTTGTAATGGGGAAAATCACTCGTGCCTTGAAAGTGTGCACAGCTGAGTTGATTCTGTGTGAAAATAAACGAAAACACATCGAAGAAAAAAACAGAGTTTGAGGGACACGTAACGAAAACAAGACTCAAAAAACAGTCAAAAATTGAGGAAAATGACACGTTTTTATCACACGTGACGAAATGACGATTGAGGAGTGCGAGGATTTTAACAAAGAGAGTTTTCTCCTCCTCAAAAAATTCCAATTTCGTTTGCATTTCTATTGTGATTTCTGTAAGCAATGTTGCCAAATGGGTCAGAAATTCCAAAAATTGAGGGATTTTACACTCGTGACCACAGTCAGTGGCATCAATTTGTTGCAAAAATTGGCCATGAAAAAAATTCCAAATTTTGGAATCGGCACACTTGATTTTGGAGCCCTCCTCTCTTATATTTCTAATATCGGACAAAAGAAACGTCCTAAAACCACAAAATACCGACGTATTGAAATCTTTCAGTGCCAATTTGACAAAACTTTCATAATTTGATTCTCTAAATAAGGGTTTTCGTCTCTTTTGTTTACAAAACTTCAAAAGTGGCTCTGAGGGCACAATTTCGCCGGTTTTGGTGAGGAGAAATTCGCTCAATTTCTCGAAAATTCCCCTCTCGGAATTCTGTTCGAAAAACTCAAAAACTAGAGCCTCAAACGACTCGAATTCCCTCGAACTTGTCGCAATTTTGCGATTATAAATTTCGTAAATCAACTGTTCGAAGTATCGCCCGAATAAATCCATTTTAAACTGAATCAAGTTGTTGTTTTTGTCGAATTTTTTGGCCAATTGGAGATAAGTTTTCACAATTTCGAGTTTCACAGTTATTGAACATTCGGACAGGAGGAGTAACAAGTCGTCTAAATTCCGGTAAGTGGCACTTGTGAAGCGCTCAAAATCGAAGCTTTGTGCCAAAATAAATGTAATAATCTTGAGTAAATTGAGGAAAAAATCCTGGAAGTTTCTCAACGTAATTTCGATTGAAATCGGTTCGAGATTCAATTTTTCGCCCAAATCTGCGTATTTCTCAGGAATGAAAACATTGACAGTTAAAGTACTTTCTCCAAACTTGACGAAGTCACTCAAATTACTCAAAGTTTGACAATAGTTTTTCGCTAACTCGTCGTAAACACTCAATTGAGTGTTTGAGAGTTGCTCCAAGACACATAATTGGATGTCAACGTAGACGTTGTGACTTTTGCACAACGTCTCGCAACTCAATAGATAGAAAAACCGGCCGAGGAACCACGTGGTGAAGGATTTGTACTTGCCGGCGACCCTTTGGTAGTCCTCAAAACTGCTCAAAGGGTCTCTACTGTAGACAAAAATGTTTGTGAAGTCCCCAGATTTGATTATCTTGGCCAAATGTTCGGCACTCTTCTCCGACGACTTCATGGCCATCAAGGCCGGAATTGTCTCGTTGAAGGTCTCCCAAATGGAAAAAGCCGGGATTTCGTCGGGGACTGACATGACTTAACCTAACAAAAAAATGGCAGTTTTTACGTCTCTGGACCCGGAACTACTCACATCTAACACTTAAATAACCACCAAATTAAATTAAACACACAAAACACAGTTTAAGTAACAAAAACAAGACACATTTTTTGACTTTTGGCGCACAAAACACAAATGTATGGAGTGAAGTTAGCAACAGTGATTTATTTAGTTCGATCAAAAAAATGGTTCAGTACTGATTTACCGAAAGAAAAAACCTTAATAATAATGTCTGAAGTGTGTTTTACTGTTTTACACTTTTTAAATCATTTGGAGCTGTGAATTAATTGGAAAAATTCAATTTTTTTGGGAATGATTTTACAGTTGGCAATGCGTGACGTGAAGTTAGTCGCAAACATAACCTCAAAATAACAAAAAATTGTTTATTTCTAATTTTTGTTACAAAAAATAGAAATCAATGCCGTTTCCGCTTCTTCTCTTTGAGCTTCATCTTCTGCTTGTTCTCCCGCCGCGCCTTCTTCCGCTGCTTCTGCCCCTCAATTTTTGTCTTCATTTGAAACACTTTGCTCTTTTGCACCTTCTTAGTGGCCTCCTTTTTGAGTAGTCGTTTCACGTCCCGTTCCGAATCGAATTTCCGCGTCACTTTGGTGTCCCTCTGCTTCAGGTCCATTCCAGGCACTTCGCTTTCTTCCTCATTTTCACAAATTGGTTGATTGGCCCCGATCCAGTTACTCTCTTTTGCGATCACATCGGTCGATAATTCCTCAATTCGCACAGTTGCGTCCTCGTCTTCGTACTCCTCTTTGAGGAGGGTCTCCAATTCGGGGATGGGGCGGGCAGAGACAACTAATTTTTTGTAAGACTCCTTCGCTTCGGTTTTGAGACGCTTTCTCTCCTCCTTTAATTCGCGTTCGAGCTTCTCGCGGGCTTCTTTCTTACGCTGGAGTTTGCGTTTGTGGAAACCGGTGAGGAAGTCCCTAAAAAGTGAGGTTATGTCAAGAGTGACACGAGAAGTGTTAACTACACATAAAAACGGTGAATTTCACGAACCTTCGCTTCTTTTCATCGAAAACCAAATGTAATTTGTTTGTGCGATTTTTGGGGTTTTTTTGGCGATTTTTTTTGACAGATGAACCAGCCGCCATTTTGTGTTTTTTTCTAGTACTTGAAGTAAATAAGCCAAGAACAAGACTGTGTTAATAACTTACTTTAGTGGTAATTTTAAAATCACCCCTTAATTTTTTCAAACAGAAATTTATTTGTTCGTGAATAACATGGTAAGGACAATGAACAGTTACAAAATCATAATTTTAGGGCTAGCTTTGAAGGGTTTTATGAACGTGGTTGGCTCTTTGACTAATCATCCCTTTCACGCCTTTGGGTAATTTTTCGACCAATCAGAGCCATATCGTGGCATAAAGTCGGCGCTCATCTCATCATGGCTGTCAGTATAAATTTGATCGTTGAATCATGAACTTCCCTTCATTTAAATCGTCACATAACCCGAATTTTTCGTTAATTTTTCTATTAAAACGACCAAAAGTGATGATGAAACGTTACAAGACGTCCCTTTCGATCAAGTGACTGCGTTTCCGACCGTCAAGTAAGTACCCCCGGCCCTAAAACCCTCAAAAAACCCCGATTTTCCCCAACGCTGCGATCTCCATATTAGCCCGAAAATCGGGCATTTGACCTCATCCAACCTCAAATTTCGCACTTTTAGATCGAATCGTCGCTTCCATATGTTCGCATTAACCCCAGTTAATCATGACGTCGAGCAGGTGAGAGTTGTCAAAAATCGAATTTCGAAGAAAAATAAATTGTATTTATTAGGTTGGACAGACTGTTTGTACTTTTGGAAACGGGCAGTTCGGCGGTAACTCGCACCGCAGCGGCCAAACAACTGGGGGAAGTACAGAAATTGCACCCCCACGAATTGACCACTTTACTGACCCGAACTGCGACCTATCTACGGTCGACCAATTGGGAGACTCGCATTGCCGCCGCGGAGGCCGTTAGGGCAATCGTCAGCAATGTGCCCCCCTGGGAGCCCCGGCCCGTCCCTGGTAAGTCGTGTGACGTCACTTGGCCATAATTACAACTGTCAACTTTGACTTATCGACGATTGCTAGACTGTGACGTTTCGTAATTTGCCCGGAGGAGAGAAATTCTAGACCGTTTTTATAACCCACTTTACGTATTAAAAATCCATTACTTTGTTGTGTTTTTTTGCGTGTTAAATTTACAAGTGAGGGGTGTAAATAGGCGGCTATGGTCACGTGTTCAAATGTTTAAATGGCGGCGATAAGATTAGTATTAAAGTAGGCCAAGGAAATTGTAAATTTTCTTATCTGTGAAAAAATATCGGGTGACTGTATATAATTGTGATTTTTCATTGCGCAGTGCTGCCAATAGTGCCAATCGGGAATTTGAAATTTACCATTAACTGTTAACGTTTAAGTTTTACCAACAGTGTTGCTAAAACATTAATATACCAGGTGAACCAAACGTTTTTTGCTTAAACTATTTATTTTTTGAAAAACCTAATTGATGAGTGGTACTACAAAATTGTAATGATTTAACAAGGAAAAATTTTTCGAAATTTCCTTGTTTTTGAGTTCTACAAAAAAAAAATATTTTTTTAAATGGCAACCCACTATAAAATCATTTTTCTCATAAAAGCTATACTCTAAGGATTACAACTATCCTCTTTATACTTAATTTTTTCAAAAAAATTCTTTCACATAATTTGCAATTTTGAGAAAAAAAATCGCATAACTAAAAAACAAAACAAAATTTCGTTCTGAAAATACAATCACATTTTTTATATTACTTTAATTTATATTAATTATTATTTTCCGGCAACAAATGATTAAAATAAAACCGCATGGTTCCATACTTTATATTCACCCTGTATTTATTTTTAAATTAATGTGCATCGAAGTAGTCGTTGAAAGGGATGGCAACCATGCATCCTAACCTCAATCTTCTCTAAAAAAAATTTTTAAGGATAAATGTATACCCCAGGTAGCAAAAAATAATTAAAATTAACAAAAAAAAAAAGATTTTTGTCAATATTGATGTGATTAAATTTCTTCCGAATGACATTAATGACACTTTTAGTGTGAATCTGCCTTTAAATTAAAGATGCATTTAGACTTCTACAGCCTACTTGATTCACATTAACATAAAAAAGATTATAGTTAAAAATTATATACAGGGTGTTTCTTTCAGAGGATGAGCCCCAAACGCCTCCGTTATCAATTGTGGGTCGTTTACGTTTCCACCAATTTGATATGGACAAAGTGCTCAAGAACAGCACCCACTTGATGGCATCCGAAGGCAAAGAATTTGACCTTGAGGAGGATTCATCGACTGATATTCGTGAAAAAATGGCCAAACAAAGACAAATTTTGAATGCTAGATTGGGTCTAGAGGTCGCTGGTCGTATCGGAATCGATACTACCAACCTATTCACTAATGAAGATTTAATTGTGGAAAATTGCGAAAAAAATAACGAAATTTCACGAGTATGTTACACTTGATTTAATTGTTTTTTTTTTGTGATTTTTATGAATTTTAGAAACCACTTCGCGACTTAATTTCAAGCGGTTTAAGTTCCCGAGAGATGAATCGTGCGAGAAGAAAAGCACGTCAAGCGGTGTCGAAACAACGATCACGTGATCCGGACGAAATGACAAGTGACGAACCTGAGAAAAAACGAATTAAAATTGAAATCAGGGACGAGAGTAATAACAGTATGGGTGAGTGTTTTATTTAAAATTTAATTTTTGTGAATCCCCGATTAAATTTCCAGATGTGCCCGACATTGATCCCGACTCGGGTGATTGGCCCCTTGAATGGTTCTGTGATTCCCTCAGTCAGGATTTGTTCAGTTCTAGTTGGGAGACACGTCACGGTGCTGCAACCGCCCTTCGTGAAATAATCACGGTACATGGGCGTGGCGCCGGCAAGAGTACCAACCTAACCGTCCAACAAATGCAAGAATGTCACCAGATTTGGCTCGAGGATATGGCAATACGCCTACTATGTGTTCTAGCTCTTGACCGTTTTGGGGATTTTGTTTCTGATGCAGTGGTAGCACCGGTACGTGAAACGTGTGCACAGAGTTTATGTGCCGTTTTGAAACTAATGGAGGAGAGTGGTTGTAAAGGTGCTTTGAGAATTCTCCTCCAATTATTGGGGCACCAAGAATGGGAGGCGCGTCATGGGGGTCTCCTAGGGCTCAAATATTTACTAGCCGTACGCGAGGATATGGTCAATACGTTACTACCGGAAGCATTTCCGTTTATACTTCAAGGTTTGTCCGATAATGTGGATGATGTCGCTGCGGTCGCCGCTTCAGCTTTAATTCCAGTCACGGGAAAGTTGGTACGACTGGTACCAGAATCGGTTCCTGTGGTTGTAAGCAAATTATGGGATTTGTTAGCCGAACAGGATGAACTTGCAGCGGCTTGTAACAGTTTCATGGGTCTTTTAGCCGCCATTTTGAATCTACCAGAAGCCCAACAATTACTACCACCACAACCACTCAATGAAGTTGTACCACGATTGTGGCCCTTTTTGAGTCATAGTGCCTCATCTGTACGTAAAGCCACCCTACAAACCCTTGGCACGTTAACTGAAAGACCCATTGATGGGTCACCAATCACATGGGAGGCTCAATTATTACAAGACGCCATGAGACATGTCTACCAACGTGTATTGGTAGAACCACAAAGTGAGGTTAGAGACGTTGCCGAACACGTGTGGAAACAACTAGTCGAGAATTCCGGTTTAGTCGAATTATTACACGCTGCATGTCCTTTTATAACCATTTGGTTGTTTCTAAGTATGCAATCGACAAAACTCGCATTTGATCCGAATTTTCTAATACATGCAAAAAGTCATCGTAAAAAAACCAACGATGGTTTACATAATTTTGATCACAGTGTTGTCATACCAAAGTGTTTTATTGGTGGAACTGAAACAACACCATTAGCAACACGTGAAAGTAATGCAGTGCAAGTGAGATGTATGACAGCACGTATGTTGGGTCTTTTATCGTGTTATATAATAAAACCAGCACCAGGAATTGACTATAGTGGCAACATTGAAAAACCAATTGAATGTTACGAAAAAGTTCTTTTAGTACATTTGAATTCCAAGTCGGCGTTGCAACGTACAATGGCCGGTTTGGTTATAGCCGAATGGGCCGAACGTGACCGAGAAACATCGACATGTCCCGATGGTTTAAAAAAACGACTACATGAATGTCTCAACGAACGAGTTTATTTCGATGAGATTGCACTCAGTTTCACACGATTGACACAAGAAACGCGTGATTTTATGGCAACTTTAAAACACTATAAAGTTCCGGTTAGTACCGAAAATGATAGTGTTTTCACATTGGAACGTATACAGGAATTAACCGGTGTGACAACTCAAGAGACTCTAGTCAAAATCAAGCTTAAAACTAAAGTCCAAGAAAGTTTAGAAGAGCGAAGACGTAGTATACAAAACAGTGTTGTACAAACAAGCAACGATCAGTTAGTTTTAAGTGTTAGTACGTTGGCAGCACTGGCTGGGGCTACAGTCATGTTTAAGGCCCTACCAGAGAAACTCACACCTGTGGCAAAGCCACTAATGGAATCAGTAAAACGTGAAAACGATGAAAATCTCCAGAAAACAACAGCTAAACATTTGGCACATCTATTGGATCAGTGTCGGGGGCGTAATCCTTGTCCCAATGATAAGATTTTAGTTAATTTGTGTACTTATCTGAGATGTGACCCGGAATTTACACCAGTAATTTATAAACAAGAAGCTAATAATAGTAAAGAGTTGACTTGGACTAAACCGGGGAATTACAACGGAATTGTCACACTAAATAATCAACAGAAAGATGCAGAAAGGGCGGCGTTTCGACGCTCGAATTCAACCGGTCGTGGACCGGGACGTCCCCCAGCAACTGATATCCCTCTCGATGAACTTTTTAAAGAAGAAGATGAAACACAGAAAAATAATCGGATTCAAAGACGGGGGGCTACACATGCACTAGTCGCAATAACCTCACACTTTGGAGAGGAATTACCGGAGAAAATTCCCAAATTATGGGAATTAATGGTGGGGCAATTGTGCGAAACTATAGATCCTGAAAATTTCGATGCGAAAAGTTGGTATGAGAAAGACGAGGAATCGGAGCAACTAGTGTGGGCTTTACAAGTTCTTGAAGTCACTTCATCTAGTCTCCATTCAAGTCTAAGGCCACTTTTAATGGAGAAAACATTGAAACGTTTATGTGTTTTACTATCGCATCCGTATCAAGCGGTGCGCCATCTAGCGTCACGTTGTCTTGCTGTTTTTTCTAAACTAGATTCGGTTCGAGTCATGGAAATGATAGTTGAGATTGTTTTACCAAAATTGGGGGCTATTGATTGTGATATTGATCGACAGGGGGCAGTTGAGGCTATTGCTTGTATCATTGATACACTCCAGTTTGATATAATTCCATATGTGGTATTATTAGTGGTACCACTTTTGGGGCGCATGTCCGATCAAAATACCTATGTGAGATTGATGGGTACACATAGTTTTGCCACTTTGGTACAATTAATGCCGCTAGATGGCGGGGTACCCGAACCGCCATCTTTAAAAGGTAGTATATTGAGTGAGCGACGTGACCGCGAGAGGGAGTTTTTAAAACAATTGCTTTCACCGACTACTATACCTGATTATGTGGTTCCAGTACCAATCGCTGCTGAATTACGTAGTTATCAACAAGCTGGTGTTAATTGGTTGGCATTTTTAAATAAATATAAATTACATGGAATTTTATGTGATGATATGGGTTTAGGGAAAACCATTCAGAGTATTTGTATGTTGGCAGGAGATCATTACTATCGTGATCAGAAATATAAAGAAACAAAGTCGGCTGATTGTGCCCCACTACCTTCACTTGTTATTTGTCCGCCAACTTTGACCGGACATTGGGTCTACGAAGTTGAGAAGTTTTTATCACACAAATACCTAAAACCGTTACAATATAATGGTTCGCCAACAGAACGCGAAAAATTAAGACACAAATTCAAAAAACACAATTTGATTGTAGCCTCGTATGATATAGTACGAAAAGATATAGGGGTTTTTAGTAATATTAAATGGAACTATATAATTTTGGATGAAGGTCACGTGATTAAAAATGGTAAAACGAGGACTAGTATGGCGATTAAGAATCTTGTTGCTAATTATCGATTGATTTTGAGTGGTACCCCCATTCAAAATAATGTCTTAGAATTGTGGAGTCTTTTTGATTTTCTCATGCCGGGCTTCTTAGGCACCGAAAAACAATTTACGGCTCGATATTCGCGCCCGATTTTGGCCAGTCGTGACCCCAAATCCTTGCCCAAGGAACAGGAAGCTGGGGCGTTGGCTATGGAAGCCCTCCATCGACAAGTCTTACCGTTTTTGTTGCGTCGTGTCAAAGAGGATGTTTTGGATGATTTACCGCCGAAAATCACACAGGATTATTACTGTGAATTGAGTCCACTTCAGGAGCGACTCTATGAGGATTTTTCCAAATCACAAGCACATCAAACATTACAGGAATCTATCTCTTCAGGTGCTACCGCAAGCTCAATGCAAGGCAACACTCACATATTTCAAGCTTTACGGTATTTGCAAAACGTTTGTAATCATCCTAAGTTGGTTTTAAATGCGAGTCATCCACAATATGGGAAGATTTTAACGGATTTACAAGCACAAGACTCGAAATTGGACGATATAAGTCATTCGGCGAAATTACCGGCTTTGAAGTAAGTTGTTTTTGTGTAGTTGAGTTGAGTTTTTGCATTTTTTCTTGATAGGCAATTATTGCAAGACTGTGGTATCGGTGTAACCGAACCGCAATCAACCGAACTTGTTGTTAACCAACACCGAGCGCTTGTGTTTTGTCAACTTAAAGCCATGTTGGATATTATTGAGAAAGACCTTTTCAAAAAACATATGCCTGGAGTGACGTATCTTCGTCTTGATGGTTCAATTCCACCAAGTCAACGTCATTCAGTGGTGACTCGATTCAATAATGATCCATCGATTGATGTTCTTTTGTTGACAACACAAGTTGGTGGTCTTGGATTGAATTTGACTGGGGCTGATACTGTGATTTTTGTCGAACATGATTGGAATCCAATGAAGGATCTTCAAGCAATGGATCGGGCACATCGTATTGGTCAAAGGAAGGTGGTGAATGTGTATAGATTGATAACGAGAGCGACTTTAGAGGAGAAAATTATGGGGTGAGTGGGGTTTGGTGGAGTGTTTGGGGGAATGTTTTTGTGGTTGGTTTAGTTTGCAGAAGTTTAAAGTTCAAACGGTCAATACGATTATTAGTGGGAATAATAGTAAGTTGGAGACGATGGGGACCGATCAATTGTTGGATCTGTTTTCGCATAAACCGTCCAATTCGGGAGGGAATGCAGGAGATGGGGGTGGAAGTGGGAGTGTTAAGGCGATCTTAGAAACGTTACCGGAATTGTGGGATCAGAAGCAATACGATGATGAGTATGACTTGTCGCAGTTTATTTCTAAACTGAATTGAAAAGGTAAGAGGGCACTCACTTTTCACTAACGATATTTAAATGAAAAAATTTAAACACTTGAATGACATTTGACAGATGCAGTGCTGCCAATATAAAACAAACGTCTTAAATTCAAATTTTGGTAGTTTGAAACTAAATTTTTAATTATTGTGCAATAATTGGAAGGTAATTTAGAAAAGAACTTTAAGTTTGATGGTGGTTGGATAAAATAGCCATCCAAATACAATTTTTTTACGTGTGATTGTCTGACGTTGTGTGACAAAAGATGACAATTGACGGCATTGTTACCATTTCAAAAAGTAAAATCCACTAGATAGTTGTCAAATTTACACCTGTTTTTGAAATTAGTGCAAAATAAATGCGTTTCTAGCTGAAAAACTTCTTCAAACGCTCGAGAAAGCCAAAAATTATACCATTTTCAACATTTTTTTGGTTTGTTTTAGCGAAATATTGCGAAAAACGACGTGAGTTTGTAGTACAAAAACGTGCTTAAAAGCATTTTCGACTAAATTTTGTGGTTTCTCGGCTTAATTTTCTTAAAAAATCATTTAAATCAACTGAAACAAACAAAATAACTACGGTGATATTATAAATTTTTAATTATTGTGCAATAATTGGAAGGTAATTTAGAAAAGAAATGTAAATTTGATGGTGTTTGGGTAAAATTGCCATCCAAATACCATATTTTTACGTGTGATTGTCTAACGTTTTGTGACAAAAGCCGTCTAGATGACAATTAGCAGCATTGTTGCCATTTAAAAATAAGTAAAATCCACAAGAAAAAGTTGTCAAATTTACACCTGTTTTTAAAATTTGTGTGAAATAATTGCGTTTCTAGCTGAAAAACTTCTTCAACGCTCGAGAAAGGCAAAAATTATACAATTTTCAACATTTTTTTTTTGTTTCTAGCGAAATATTGCAAAAAATTTGAGATTTCAGTACAAAAACAACTAAATTTTGTGGTTTTTCGGTTTAGTTTTCTTAAAAAATCAGTTAAATCGAGTGAAACAAATAAAATAACGTCAATTTCAATTTATTTCTAAATTTGAATTGAGATGGTAAGGAGGTGATATTTCTATTTATAAAATGAAGAAATGATACTCACATTTTGCTTATTTTCACATAAAAAAGACATTTGAATAAAAAACGTGTTACTAATTGAAATTTAAAATAAAATCAAATAGCAATTTTTGATGTTTGACAAAAGCTTTCTAGATGAAATTTGGCAGCAGTGTCACCAGCTCAAAAAAATAAAATCCACCAGATCCGAGTTGAAAAAGTTGCTAAATTTACATCTATTTTTACAAGACTACAAGATTACGGTTTAAATTTTTCCAATAGTATCGATTTTTTTTTTTACATAAACAGAGGTTAAAGCCTAAGAGTTAGGTAAAACTATTATATATCACCTTTTTTTATAACAGTTTAGTGATTTTTGACTCGATATGCCACAATCTCGCAAAAAATGGAGTTTTTAGTTTAGGAATCTGTTTAAAAGTCTCGAAAAAGACAAGAATTACATCATTTTCGGCCTAATTCTGTAGTTTTTTTACAATACTCGGCGAAATAATTGCGTTTCTAGCTGAAAAACTTGCTAAAACGCTCGAGAAATGCAAAAATAATACTCCTCTACTTATTTTTAACAAATTGACAGATGCAGTGCTGCCAATACAAAGCAAACACACAAAACTCAATTATGTAAATTTAAATGTAAATTTAAAACTCTAAATATGCAAAAAATTTAGGATAATTTCGAAAAGGACTAAATTTAATGATGGTTGGATAAAATATCCACTCAAATACTAATTTTTGACGTTTAATTGTTTGACAAAAGCCCTCTAGATGCTGACCGTAAAGGTTGATTTAGAAATTTTTGGCATTTCTTAACGAAAAATGTAAAAATATTGTTAAATGACAAAATGTACAAATTTAGGAAATAATAAACTCACTTTATTATTTGAAATTTTAATTGACAGCTGTACTGCCAACATTAGAAAGTAATTATAACCAACTCCTTAATCTCAATTTTAGAACGAATATTTCATTTTGTTTATTTAAATATAAAATGTCAAAACAATAAATCAAAAAAAAACAGTTTTAAAGCTTTACACCGAATTTGCGAACGTCATTCCTTGAATTTCTCCCTTGGCGGCCCCTTGTTGACCCTTTGCCCCACAAAATCGGGTCAGTGCTGTGCTAAGGTCAGTTCCGTTTGATTTAGGTCAGACGGAAATGAGGTCGACCGCCTGGGATTCGACCCAAAAAGCTACCTGTGAAAAGTAGAGCAAATCCTTGACCCGATTTTGAAACCGATCGATGCAAACAACAGGTAGTGTTTATTGTCGTTTTATTTACAGGTCTCGAATTTATCGACGTAACAACCAAAGATTTATTTAGGTAGAAGAGTCCATTTCATTTATTTCCATTTCTTTTAATTTATATCATTCATGTGTGAATCAATTGCTTAGTTTGTAAAGTAGGACTTGTGTGTACTCGGATTAAAATAGCAATAAACGTGTGTTTTTTTTTGAGATAAAACATTTATTTATTGAATATAGTTGTCTACAAGGTATGACTTTTATGGCAGTCAACAATTTTTCAGTCATGATATGATTGGCTAATCTATGATTAAGTACTAATAAGGGGATAACAATCCCGACACAGCCTTTTTTACAATACCAGCAATCCCCAACTAAGTTATTGCAGTCTACAAGCTACAAGCCACTACTTTCACAATAAGTGTATATTATTATGACTTATTATTGTATAGCATAATCACATTATAACTTGATAAGCATTTGTTGATAACGAACATAAAGCTCTACCTACACGTTTTTTGTTACATTGATTTAAAAAAATAAAGGTTCTGCTGTAACAGACCCGATATAGGGTTAAGCTCATTTTTCCTCAAAATCAGTCTTTTGTAAAATGATAAAATAAAGTTTGGCAGTTGGAAGTTATACATGGAAAGCCTTAAAGACTACAAGTAATTACTGAATTTCTGCCCTTGGGTCGCCTACTACTAATTTTCCAGCTCAATCGAGCCGAAACAATAAAATTAATTTCTTAAAACTAGTGGCCGGTCCGTCTCTGTTTCACCAATCAATAAAGCAGATACGGTCCTGCCTTTTTCGTGCTATGTCTACCTTTATCATGACACACAATATGTACAAATTTCAGGTTGTGTAAAGTAAACAAATCGTTATAGATGGCTTTGACATCAACCGAAGTCTCCCGATCGTTAACGATCGTACATTCGGCATCGTTCAAAGCCTTCACGATTTGGGGTATCACCGCTCTCGATCTTTCAATCACGTGATCCAAATTCCACGTTTGGAAAACGATCCTTCCCTCCCTGCTTTCGTACGGATTAATACTATGTGGGGGGCTGTAGAGACACTTGTCTTTGTTCCACCTGCCTTGACAGGTGAACTCCCCCCGAGTGTCACACAAACTCTTGTCGTCTCTTCGATCGAAGAAATGTCCGTTGAATTTGGACAGTTTGAGTCGGTTTTGCAGTTCGTCGATGAGACTTCGCAAGCGGTGTTGGGGCACTGTGGGGCACTCCTTCAAAAGTTCCTCTCGGGTTTTGTAGTAATAGGTCCGAATCCGGTCCTGTGCTCTCCTAAACATATAGTCCTCTTTGGTTTTTGCATTGGTGTCAAGGCCTGAGATGAGTCAGATTTTTGAATGTGCGAGTGGAGGGGAGCGAACCAGGGCGCTGGTGTTAGAACACGTGACCGTGATTGCGCGCCCTGGTTGGTGGAAATGTGAAAGGGCGTGGCGTGACTTACCTTCGAACCATTCAGGATGGTCGCACTTGAGACTGAATTTGGCTTTATCGCCGTCGATCCCACGTAACACTTCTGCCAACTTGAAAACTTTATTTTTCATTTTTTCGGTGAAAAACTCCTGGACTTTCTCCCCAGCGCTCAAATACTCGTCGTTGACTTCTCGGATGGTTTTGTAGAGGATTTCTGCATCGGTGGGGGCCTTTTCACCGTTCTTCACCCAAATTAGGAGAGTTTGTGCGTGCAAAGTCTGGAAATACTCGTTGTTTTCCACCAGTGTGCCGTCCTGCGTCTGGAGGAAAATCTCGTCGGGGGATAGCCCCAACTTGAATTTTTCCACGGTTTTTCTTTTTAAATCATCGAGGGTTTTCGCGGCTATGCCCACACGCGATTTGCGTTCAGAATCCGTGACTTTGAACCCCTTTGTGGCCATTGCGCCCGGAGTGATGCAACCAACACTGCACCTCAACACCGACTGAAGTTACCCTGGTTGCAGCCTGCACTTAAATGCAGACAACATAAAAAAATCAAAACAACTAGGCCAATGTCAGTGTCAATTTCCCTTTTCCGGGGAAAGTGCGCATGTCACTTGACCCAACAAAATTTTCCGCATTTCACGCAATTAATAAACAAACGGGTCAGGACGTGGAAAAATCAACTCAAATGACACAAATCCCCCAAAAACGCTAACTAACTCACAAATAAAAAACACAACCCGGAATTTCCCAAAACAAAGCTGGGGAAAACTCCCGTGTCCATCACTGGCTATGTTGGCACCACTAACCAGACGAAATTCCCCAGTTTTAAGTCGACGAGTTGTGACTGTTATTAAAATTTGGAAACGAAACAAATAATCCAAACGACACAATTCCATAAAAAACACTACCCGAAATTTCCCAGAACAAAGCCAGGAAAAAGAAAAACGAAAAACTGCCAATGTTGGTACCACGAAATTCCCCATATTTGAAAAGTGCGTCATAACTGTCAATTTTCGAAATTTGTAAAAATGAACGGTTTGAAACGGGGGGCCCTCATTGTGATTGAAGGCGTGGACAGATCGGGCAAATCCACCCAATGTAAGAAGTTAGTGGAGTCTTTGAAGGCCCGCAATGTGAACGCAGCACTCATAACCTTCCCCGACCGCACCACTCACATCGGGGGGCTCATAGACAAATACCTGAAACAGCAGACGCACCTCTGCGACGAAGCCATCCACCTCATGTTCACAGCAAATCGATGGGAGAAAAAAACCGAAATGGAGAAGCTCCTCAAACAGGGGGTTACTCTAATCGTCGACCGGTATTCGTACTCAGGGATTGTTTACTCCTCAGTTAAGAAAAGTGAGTCAAGGGGGCACAAGGGCCTTAACCCGTTCAATTTTTGCAGATATGAGCCTCAAGTGGTGTCAAGATCCCGAAAAGGGGCTACTGAAGCCCGATTTAGTGCTCCTTTTGGTTCTGAGTGAGGCGGAAGTGGTGAAACGCCCCAATTACGGTAATGAGATTTATGAAACTAAAGAGACGCAAGAAAAAGTCGCGGAGGCGTTTATGGACTTGAGCAGAAAGGAGAAATGGGAGGTTGTCTCAGCCGATGGGAGTTTAGAGCAAGTGCACAAAGTTTTGCTTGATAAGGTAATAAAAAAGGTGGCCGAGGTCGGGGGCCACCCTTTACGGACGCTCAATTTCAATGATTAATTTTTTAATTTAGAATAAACAAGTTTACACTTTGTGTAAGGCGGCTATGCTTGACATTTCACTGTCAAAATGGTAAAAAAAAATGTATAGGGCGGCTATGACTGTTTGACAATTTTGACATTTTACTGTCATTTAATAACTCAAATGTCATAAAAAAAATATTTTTGTTTAAGTGGACGCTTCTCTTTTCCTTTTCCCTTGATTTCGTTTCCTTTTCTCTAATTTATTGTCCCCAACCCTGTAGAAATAATTGAGTTTGTTGTGTTTTCGCAATGTGAGACTTACATGGCCGTGGCTCTTGTTCCGGGGCCCCAATTTGGCATCGGATTTTGCTGGAATCTCACAAACCCCATTTTTTTCGACTGGGGATTTGCCCCTTCATGATACTCAAATGAAACCTCAAACTGTCTTTCTTTCTTTAAAATATTCGTTGCGGGGCTATTCTCAACCAATCTCTTTTTATTGACGGGATGTTGCCCCTCCCAGGCCCTCATAATGTCCCAGACCAACCCATTCGGGGCGTTTGTTTTAATCGAAGTCTTATTCATGTGTGTGTAGGACACTTGAAAGCCGGCATTTAATATCGCCGATCTGATAGCCCCCATCGAAGGTGTCTCGACATGTAAAGTCCCACTTAATTGTTCGAGAGTGTAATACAAGGGGGCATCGTGCAACTCTTCGTTTATTACATTCAGAACACCCTGTATACGTTTAAAAGTACCCAAATTTTCGGGGATTTGGTTTAATAGTTTTGTAATAAATTCCGGTGAATGTAAGGGGGCGTTCCATACAGGGCCCCCCATCTACGAAAATTGTAAACATTACTGTCAAATTTTGAATCGTCCTTACATGAAACGGGTGGTCACAATGTTCGCAAATATTGGGGAACCCCCGAGTCGGCAAACCGTATTTCATTTGTTTCGTTTTATCATTTGTTTTAATGACCCCAAGGGGGTGCAATACGTGACTGCCACATCCAGTACAGTGGTGAACCATTGATAATTTACTGAAAAAACAAATTATTAAGTAAATTTTTAGTTAGTGTTTTTTTTACCTCAAAGTTTGTTTGCATTTTTTCGGACTTGTGAACACTCGGACGAAAACCCTGATGTAAAAATCGGCCGATAGAGACAACAAGGGGGTTATATAGCGTCCATATCTGTTAGCATGTGCCTCAATACACTGTAATAGAATCCTCAAGGCCTGAAATTAGTTGATTTAATTACAGAATTTCGTTGTGGGGGGTTACCATCTCGTGGCAGGCTTTCATGCGTAATGATACAGCCCCATATTTGCTGTAACATGTCTCAGGGGAGTTTCCTGCGAGTACTGCCATATCCGTGGCTGTGATTAACAGTAAGCCCCCTTCTTTGATCGTCTGGACTGCTGAGTCGAGGAAAATCGAGGGGCAGCCATAAGGGTCAAGGTCAATTGCATCAAAACGACGCTCTTTACGACTTTTATACATCAACATACTAAAAATTGTGATTAAAAGGGAATAATTTGTGAAAATTGATCAATACGTAGCATCATCGTGGCTTGCCACCACTAAATCTTCAACTTTATTATCGGCAATGTTGCATTTTATGTCTTCAACTGCTTTAATTGATATGTCATTAGCGACGATTTCTTTAACTCCTTTGACTTCTTTGGCGTATCTTATACTCCTTAAACCAGTGGCTGAGAGAGCTTCTAAAATACTGATACCGTCGTCGTACTTGTGTCCAGTCTCCCACACACTATGAGAATCACATTTGTAGTCTTCCACAAACGTATTTAAGACTACAATACTGCAAAAAACGTTAAATTTGGGCTTGATTTGTGGTGAACCTAACCTCAAATCACGGTTGAATTCCTGGACCGGGTTGTAAAAAACACTCCCTTGGGTTTTAATCTTGGCCAGGCCTTCGGTAATTTCCCGGCTCTCGGTGTTATTCACCTCGTTTTTTGCCATTATTTACCGTTTAAACTACTCGAAAAAGTGGGGTTATAAATTGGGATTTTAGTTGCGTAAGGTTGGTATTGAAATCAACAATTCATTGATTTTACGCGTTTCGAAAAATAAAACTAATTCTATTTGGTTAGTTCCCGCTAGAGTTCCTATATTTTTTTATATATGAACTCTATTTCCCACAACAAAAAGCAAATTATTAAAACCGTAATTACGCAATTTTGGTTAATTTATTGACGCGGTTGGTGTGCCTGTTTGTCATTTTGAAAAAATGGCGTCGCAACATGAAAGACAGGAGAACTTGCTCCAAGACTGTGTTAATTCCCTGAAGACATGGAAAGAATTGATTGAGACACATTTGGAGGGTGCAGAACAAGCCACAGAACTGTCTGAGTTGGAAACAGTCGTGAAGGATTATTGTCTTGTGAGTTTCAATGCATCGAAGTCTTCGGAGGCTTGTCGCGAAGTTTTGGATTATTTTCACGAGGAGTCGAACAACCACGATGTTGATGAGTTGTACAACACGAGACTGGGGAGCAAGACACAGACGTTTGGTGGTAATTACCAGCAAGAGGGAATCTGGAAGGAGGTTTACATGGGGGTCACGGACCGAGATGTCGAAGAAGTGGAAAGGACGAGTCAGGAGGATGCGACGGAATATGAGGAAATGGGCGATTCGATCTTTTACTCGAATGTTTTTACGCCACCTGTGGACCCAATCAGTAAAATGGTGATTCAGGAGCCCTACAAAAGTAGAAAGTGTGGGCATGTTTATGATTACAAATTTATCCTTCAATATATCAAGGACGTGAAGAATCGGGCAAAGTGTCCCTACATCGGGTGCAGCAACGGAAAAATCACTGTGGAGGAGTTGGTGAAGGACAATGAGACCAAATCTAAAATCGAGAATTACCAAAGAAACACAAACACTGAAAGTGATTGATTTTGTAGTTATTTTTTTTAATACAAGTTAAGTTTCGTCGTTTGTTTCATGATTCTGGAACGCTGACACTATGTAATACAATAACGGAATTTTCGCAGTCCTTGAATCATCCATCACTCCTAATTTCGTCGTTAAGACATCACGACTCAAACGTTCCATATTTTGTCCACATTCTACAACGAAAACTTATTCAAAAAAATAACAAAATTGACACAAACCTGCTGCAAGAATTTGCTCAGTATACAAATAACCGTTCCACGACAAATACTCCCTAATCAATTCATTAATGAATCTTGTCTCATCAGGCACTTTCGGGGGCTCCTCGTCCGTGGAATTCTTGTTCAAGATTGACATTACGGCAGCCCTTAATTCGGCTTTAAACTTCTCCAAACGGCCATCCTTGTGCAGCGACTCTTTCACAGCTGAATCAGTGTAACTAATTAAAACTTTTTCGAAATTTATTACCTTCCAATAAATCCGTTTGGGTCGGTTCTGCCATCTCAAAAAAACAAGTTTCAAAACTGTCAAAAATTCAGTTTGACAGTTGTTTGTAAAACTGTTGCTTAGCAACGCCGTCACTTGACACCAATCACAATCAAATTCGTGTTCACGTGACCCCCTCAAAAAATATTTTGTACCAACACAAAAAATTACTCATTTTTTCATTCGTTTTAGTCCGTTTTGCCTACTCAAAAAAATATTAAATTTCGAAACTGTCAAAAATAAATTTGACATTTGTTTGTATTTGTTGCTTAGCATCAGCGTACATGTCACTTGACACCAATCAGAATCGTGTCACGTGACCAAAAAAACGATAAATGTCAATTATTAAAAAATATTTTATTCCAACCGTTGTCTCAGAACAAATACTTAAATTAAACAGTCTACCGATAAATCGAAAATTCTACATGTCCGCAACTATAAATAGGATAAAAAAAAAAAATCACTGCAATATGTACATACATAAATAACACTTTGTTACAACTTGTTTTATTTAATTTCCGGCTTAATGATGTGATGAAACACCTTGAAACGGCTGATGTGAAAGACTATTTACGTCTGGAATGTCACAATTAGAGAAAAATTAAATTTAAAGTTTTTTACCTGTTGGGAAGGCCCCTTGCATGTAGGATGGGGGTCCCTGATGCCGATTCAGCACCACCGGAATGGGGGGCCTAAACGGATACCCAGCCGGACTACTCTGCAAAATATTCCCTACGTATTGATGAACATTATTAATGGTGTGCGTCTTGATTCTCGACGGGAACACGTGAGGTGGCGGTGACCCAGGAGGCGGCGGTGGTGGCGGCAAATTATCATCCTCATCGTCATCATCGTCCTCCTCCAAACTTTGTACTCTCTTCACCACCTTCACTTTAATCTTCTTCTTCTTTGTTTTTTTAGGAATCTTCAATTTTTTGTACCGTTTTTCTTTCAATTTGCAGGGATTAGGAGGCGGCGACGATAATTCCTCCCCGCCTGATGGGGAGGTGCCTTCACCCGGGCGCACCCCATCCGCAAACTGCACACTTTTACGTTGCCTACTGTGAAAAATAAAAACAATTATTAGTGGATAGTAGGCTGGTGAAACTAACCTCGCCCCCTGAGCCAATAAAATCCCTTTATTCGTAGTGGGCGTGGCCGAGACGACAACGGGAACGGACCATTGGACGGGTGTTTCCGCATTTTCTGTCTCTTCTTCGATTTCATTGGCCAAGGCTTCAGTTTCGAGTTGAATTGCTCGCTGAAAATAACGTTAATGCCACATTTAATATTGTATTTCCAAAGGTTACCTTGATCATATTCTCTGTTTTTAGTTTAAGTTTTAATTGTTTACGTTTTTCCTTCTCTTTTCGTTTCTTCTCTTTCTCTTTTCGACGTCGTTCGCGTTCTTGGCGTCGTTTTTCGCGTTCGGCTTTACGTTCAGCGATTTTTTGTTTCATTGATGCTTCGGCTGATTGTTCTGGTATTTCGACGATTTGATTGTTTTGGGCCGGTATTTCAGGAATCTGCGATGCCGGCACGATTTGTAGCATATTACCGACTTGAACGATCTTTTGGCTCCGCTCGGGGGTCTACAAAAATCAATTTTTATTATTTTTTTATTTTTATAAATAAATGACAAACCTTGTTTTCAATGACAGGGGGCGGGATTTCATCATTCGGAACGACTTGTAGTATATTCCCTACTTGTACAACTTTAGTGGCCGGTACTGACTTGACAACATTCGTCGGAGGTGGCTGTGAATATATGACCGGCCCATATGGTTGCATGTAGTCATTTTTCTGTCCATACTGTCCATATGGTGGATACTGTTGTCCATATGCATGATTCGGATATCCATAATTCGGGTATGGTTCGTGTATTTTCGGTTGTGGGGGCGGTTCATTCTTCTCCAATCCCAACACTTGATTAATTCTATCATCCAATGAGATCCTTCGTGGTGACATTTGTGGTGATGCTGACCCCCTTCTCTTAAAATACTTAGCACCGCCCACGTACGAGGGTGGCGACTCGACATAATCATCAGGATTAGGCTGTGGTAACATATCGTCACTGATTGTCGAATCAGCAACACTCCTCTTAAAACCATCCAATGGCGAATTGAGAGGCGAAGCGCGACGAATCCGTGGCGAAGGCGTTCGCTTTCTAGCTCCGCCTCTAGAACGGGGCGGAGAAATCGAAGGTGAACGACGTCGGCGACGTGGCGGCGAGCGTCGTCTCGGTGACGGCGAACGACGTCGTCTGGGAGGTGTTCTACGTCGCGGGGAGGGGCGACGACGACGTGACGGTGGCGTGATACGTCGAGGAGGACTCCGCCTCTTTGGGCTACGCGAACGACTTCGTCTCTTCTCTTTCTTACGCGGAGGAGTGGGGGAACGTTTGGGCGGCTCAGGGGCGAGTTTGGGCGGTTCAGACTCGACTTGTGGGAGGGGCACATCTTTGATTTCTTCCACGACCGGTTCTGGTTCGATTTTAACCTCCAATTCGGGTGGTTTTTCCTCTTGTTCTTCTGGTTTTTTGACGAATTTATCGGTGAAATCAGCACTGTCTGAGTCGTCATTTAGATTGAGGTTAGAATTGTCGACAAGTGGGGGCTTTTTCGGTAGAATAATCGATGGGAACACAAACGGTTTCGTTAAGTCTAAACCTGACTCAGGTGTTGGTTCTTCTTCCTGTTTTTCGGCCACCGGATTTAGTAAAATCGGTGTGGTAAGTGGTAGTATCAAGTCGACTGGGACTATGGGAGAAGGTACCGGTACCGGAGTTGGTACCATTTCGGGAAGATCACTAGGAACAGGAATATCAAATTCGTTGAAAATGTCATTGTGTTTGCCCAAAAGTAAACCTTCACATTCGCGTTTCTTCTTTTTCTTCTTTTTTTTGCGTTTCTTCTTTTTATGATCACTATCCGAACTTGAACTAGACGAACTTGAACTTCTTCTTTCGGTTTTTTTCTTTATCGGTAATACAGTTTCCGTACTTACCGCCTTTATAAATTCCTCGTATTCGTTTTCAAGAACCGCCACCGGAAAACTCGATTCAGTGGAACTAACATTACTCAATAAACTACTATTTAGACTGTCTATATTAAAGTCAAGATCGAGTTTAGTTTTCTTCACTTTGATTCCTTGTTCCGGTGTGCAAGATTTCACATCATCAGTAACAATCTTCTTTTCTTCAACATCGATTTTGACAACTTCTTCTTGCAATTTGAGTATTTTCTGTTTTTCCAATTCGAGTTGGCGTCTTTCTTCACTTAGTGTTTTTCGTTCTTCTTCAAGTAGTTTCAATTCGTCGACGACAGAGAGCGGTTTATCGTCCCAATTCGATCTTCGTGCGAAATTTTTTATATTTAGAGGTATTTCGAGGTTTGTATAATTGTCATTTTGCGTTTTATTTCGATTGTGGCTCCTTTCGAACAATTCCTCGTCGCTTTCCCACGACCTATTGACCTTCAAACTCTGACGAGGCACCGATGACGAAACGTCGTCGTCACTTTCCCAATGCGAATGATACTCGTCGGTGTCAGGAGTCGCATCTTTGGATTTTTCTTCATCTTTCTTTGATTTTTCTTCATTCGCATCTTCCGACCAACGTGATTTCTTCTTTCTGGGTTTTTGACGCTCCATTTCTTTCTGTTTTTCGAGTTTGATCTTCAATGCGTGCTCTTCGGATTTGTTTTTCTCGTGTTTCGGCCGTTTCGCGTCTTCTTCAGTCTCCGATTGCTTCCGTTTCCGGGACTTTTCCGGTTTTTCTTCCTTCTCTTCGCGTTTCTTCGCCAATTTCTCATCGATTTTCTTCAATTCGTCGATGACTTGTTGCTTGCTGGGTTTCACACTCTTCTCCTCTTCATTCTCCGATTTTTTCTTCTTCTTCTCCTTCACTTTTTTATGTTTGTGTTTGTCCTTTTCGCGCTTCTTTGTCTTGTCTTTTTTACGCTTCTTTTTCTTCTCTACAGAGTCTTTGACACGCTTCTTTGTTTTTTTCTCGACACTTTTCTTCTTTTTCTTCTTTTTTTTGACACTCTCATCGGGCTTGGACTCGGGTTCTTCATTTTCTTCTTCTTCGCCGACGTAAGTTTGGAGGAAACTCAAACCGACTGAGTTTTCCAATACTTTACATTCATTTTCGGATTCTTTCCATTGTTTCGGGTACCAGGATCTAGCCACTTTTGGATCTTGCACATTTTCTTTAAACCTAACGAAACAAAAATCACTAAATGTCACACTATAAATAAGAAACTCACGTAAGCGAATTTGAATATAAGTTTTCAATGTTGGCAACAATGTCTTTGGGCAGTGACTCCAGAATGGTTTTTCTTGACAAATAAACCGGTTTTATTGTAGCACAGTTCACACTGTATGCCACAATTGGCTTACTTTTCGTATATCTATAAAGAAAAATTTAAATTTGGCGCTTAAAACCAGTCACGTGATTGATCACCTGATATATTCAAATGGTATAATTTTATCTTCCCGTTCCACAGTCTTCATTTTAAACGCAACTATTGGTAGGGAAGGAGTTTCAAAGAGTAGTTGTCTCAAAAGCCTTAAAAAATCGATTCAAAAATGGTTTTGACAAGAATGACATTAATACTCGTTATTTCCCCCAGGCGATGCGATTTCAAAATCGCGATTTAGCTCAAATGTTGCCTCAAACTCGTTGAACTCTCGCCAGTTTTTTGGGTATTTTTTGGCCTTTTTGGCGACTTTTTTGGGCGGTTTTTCGGGGGTGGCCGACCTGGACCTCCGCCTGTAATTCCTCGCCTTTTTCTCCACCTTCTTGAAGCGGCCCCTCTCTGGGGTCCTCGAACGCGATCTTTTTGACGCCTGTCGCTGCATCTCCAAATACGCCTGTTCTTCACGTTTCAATTCTTCGATTTCTTCGATAACGGCTTTCGCTTTGTCATCGTGATAGTGGCCCTTTTTCGGGGGTTTTTTCCCTTCGTCGCTTTTCTCCTTCTTGGGGGAGGCCGGGAGCGAGCTGGGGCGTGTTGAAGAGAAGGCTTGGAGGCGTTTCTTCGCCTGAAGGGCGCTCTTGAATGTGGGTTTCGATAAGGGGGCGTCGGGTTTGTCGGAGGGGAAGTCGTTCTCGATCTCTGTGAAGTCTGGTTTGGGGAAATTAGGGGGCGGTTGAGAGAAATCAGGACTGGACTCGGGGAGAGGCACTGTTTCAACCTCCATTTTTTTTGGATCAAATTACTACCAACTAGAACGGGAGGAATGGAAATTGAGAGAAAAACCGGAAAAGTGACTTACCAGACTCGGAATTTTGTCTAAATAAATAAACTTGAGTCTAGGGGGACACTAAATTGGTCATTTTCTTGCGAATAAAAGCACACAACTCGCTGGAAATTGCCGGAAATAAAGGCAATTGCTTGAACTTATTTTACGTGTAAAGATAATTGGTTTAAATATGATACATTATCAGAAAACTGATATTTGTTATTATTAAATTCTATTTTGACAACACATTGCAAACCCACCACAATCGATGTTTAGGGACATTTTCGTGATGCAGTGTCGCCAACCCACTTTAATTAATGTTGCTTTCCACGTTTGATTATTATTTAATTAAGCGTAATACTAAAAACGTGGAGTTGCGATAAATTAGTGACTATTTCTATTAAATGAGGATTTTTTTGCACTTGGTATTTCTTGTTTGGGTTAAAAAACTGGTTATCTTGGTGCTACCAACCACACGAATGGAAAGTTCCATTGAGAGTCGTTGAATTGTCAGCGCCATATTGTTCACTTATTTATGTTTAGATTTCAATCAATAAACAGCTAAAAAATCATAAAATGGAAGACAACGTTCAGGTAACATGTTTAATTCTAACCATTGATGTGTTTTTGCTTGTTGTGTGGTGTTTTTTTGTAAAGTTTGGTAACATTGTCATGACACTCTCTTTTGTTCCCAGTTGTCGTTTCCAGAAGAAGATGAAGATTTAGAAGCTTTAAGATTAGCAGCTTTGCAGTCATTAAAACGTAAATCAGCTAATGAAGCCCCACATATGAGTTTTGGTGGTGTTAAAGACAAGGGTTATTTTAATGGGTCACCGCGAGGCAAGCACAAGAGGGGCAAATTCTCAAGACTCCAACAAGGTCGCACTTGTAGAAATGTAAAGTTTTGATTGGGTTGTTATTTTTGTATTGATTTGTGTTTGTTTAGGGCCAATTTAACGGTTGGACACGTAATTCGAATTTAATCGCCGTTCCAATGGTCACCGAAGAGGAGAATAAACGGGAAAATGTGGCCGAAGAAGCCCCCAAATTGATTCTACCCCAAGACAGGTATTGCAAAGTGGAAAAATCACCGGAAAAAAGCGACCAATCGAGTAAATTCGACCGTTACGATAATTCCGACGAATCAGAGGACGAGTCTGAAGAAGAAGCTTCCAGGTCCGAAACAGAGGAAAAGTCTGAACTGACGCGCTCGAATAGCCTTGAGGCCCTCATGGCCGAACTCGAGAACGAAATCCAAGGAGTCACACCGGAAAAATCACCCCCCAAACCTAAGAAAAAACGAAAAGTTACTGCCAGTGAACCTGACCCAAAAGTCGGGGAAAATTCCGTCAAAGAAAACCTTAAACCTGAACCGGAAATAAAACCGAATTTTCGACGGAAATGGCAAAAACCTCGTCGACCGTTCCATCCGCCTAGTTTGGTACATACAGTGGTGCCCCCACCACCGGTTGTGACATTTGCCCCGCCTCCAGTACCACCGTTCCCGCCTTTCATGGCTTTTGACAGTGTTTACGCTCCGCCCATTTACGATGCCCCGCCCCCGCAATTACCACCGTTGCATGTAGCACCGCCTTTGTACGAACGACCGATTTCTCCCCTTGCGATTAACACCGATTTTGGGAATGGTACGTTGGCACCACTGTCACCCCGGAGCGCCGCATTTGTGATGGAAAATCGGGCGATTATTGAGAAGAGGAAGCGCAGGTCGTACTCCCGGAGCCCGACTCCGGTCAGATTCCGGAAAAGGTACAAATTGTGTTAAAAAAATCGGTAAAAAATGTTAATTTGGTTTTTTAGGGCGTCGCTATCGCCTTTAAGGCGGTCCTTATCCCCATCACCCGTCCGAAAAGTGTCGCCACGCCCCTCTCCGAAGAAACAATCATCGGTTCGTGAACGGTTAGGTTCAAAAAATGAAGAATTGAAGAAGGAAGATCCGGTTTTGGAAGCAAGAAGAAGAAAATTTGAACGTAAGGAAATCACAGTGACTGAAGGTGTAATCCGTTTGAAGAAACCCGAAACTGACGAAGAGAAAAAAGAAGAGGAAGCAGAAGAAGAAGAAGAAATTGATGAAGATGCGTTATTAGAAGGCGACGATTCTATTATTTTAGACCCTAAACTTGACACTCTTTTCTCCGATGAAGAATCCGACAGTGACAACGAGGGGCGGTTCAAAACCAAACAAGAAACCAATCAGAAAGTTCCAGTGTTGCCATTTACTAAACTTATAAATGGCGCGAAAAGCGAAGTGAAAACTGATCTTCGTCTCGAAAAGAAGAAAACCGAACGGAGGAAACGTTTTAGAAGTCGGACACCGCTGAAAAAACCGGAAGTTAAGCTAACCAATGAGAGAAAAATCGAAATTAAAATCCGGAATCCGGCGAAATATGAAAAAACCGAACCGGAAGAAAAGGTCCGGAAGGTGGAAGTGACAGATGAGAAACCGGAAGAGAAAGTCGAGACGAGTGTGAATGAAGGTGGGTTAAGGTTGCTCCTAAAACCGTTCAAAACTAGGAAACTACAACCATTCAATTCTAAAACCGTTCACTTCTAAACGTTCACTGCTAAAACCGTTCACTGCTAAAACCGTTCACTTCTAACCGTTGAGCATTAAAACAGTTTATTTAATTTTTTTTTTTTTAGGTGATTTGAGAACACAGCTGAGCCGGAAACGAGCTGAGCGCCAAAAGCATCCGCTTCCGGACGTTGTGCCGTCACGTCTTTTGCAGAATGCACTCCAAGGAGTCGGTTTTAGGAAAGTGAAGAAGAGCAAAAAAGAGGAAAATGCAGGTAAGTCTCAATTTTTTCACTTGTTTCAATTAGTTTTGTTTGATTGTTTTTAGAAGGGAAATTGCCGATTCATTTGCGTCTGGGGGCTGCCACTGAGCCGTCGTTTGGGAAAAAGTCGAGGAAGCAAAAGAAAGGAAGTCAGGAGCAGGTATTGTGTTTTGTTGCGTCATTTCTTATTATTATTATTTTTAGTTTAAAATTGTTCGTTACGTTAGTATCAAAAAGATTTCGAATCGGTGCACTAACAAACGTTTCGCTTGAAAAAAAAAACAACGCGATTTTATTTTCGGGAGTTATAGGTTGCATGTGATGTATTTATTTCTCTCTTTTATGATTTAATCTGACTGTTACAGGATATTATAACGACACACACACAAAAATAATCGAATTGTACAAAACTGTGATATTTTATAAGACTTGTACTTAATTTAGTTATTTATGTATAGTATGCAATTTTTAAGTTTGTTTAAATTAAGGTTTAAAAAGTGCATACCAACCATGTAGATGTTGTAAATCCCTTATCCCTAATCCTTGTCGCTCCTTAAAGCATTTAGTAATCCCAGATGTTCCACGATTGTAATGATTTATAATGCAAAAATTACACATTTGTGCCATTATGATCTTAAATGTGTAATTTTTGTAAAGTGAGACAATGATGTAATTATTTTGTATCATTTTTGAATGAAAAAAATTGAGAAAAGAAAGCCAAACACGGGAAAAAAGAAATGATACATAACAAAAAAATCAGAAATTGAGAAAAATACTTATTGGAAATATGTTTGTAACAATATAGGTTTAAACAACTCCACAACGCCACAAAAGTCAACCCATGAGGAGTCCGAATTAATCAGGAAGCCGTAAAGTGCGACATCAAGACTCTCATTTAATTGTAATAAAAGTAAATAAGTTGTAAATCATTTTATTTCTTCTTCTACTGTTAGGTACAATTTTTTATTGCTTGCTTAAAAATATATATTGAATGTAAATATTGTGTAAATAAGGCAATGTACAGTTTTATTTATAAAATAAACTCATTTCTCATTTGGATTAATCGCGTGAGCCGTAGCGCGAGTGACATTGTCATTCAACGTCAAATATTCCCGTGTAAACCTCCCAAAAAATGTCCGATAAAGTGGAAGACCTCAACTACGACTTCAACTACAACCTCTTCATCGCCAAAACCCTCCTCAACAACCTCTCGAAGCATGAGGACAAGACGCGGGCCACGCGATGGATGAAGAAGTTGAGTACGTGCAATCGCACCCTCAACGAGATCAAGCTGCGCAACGACTTCATGTATTACCTCATTGTGAACATCCAGAACGGGGAGCTGCAGCCGCCGTTCAACGAGAATCCGCCCCAGAAGCCCCTCCCGTCGATCGCGCATTTACTGGTAAATACCCGCTGGGGATAGGTTGATTTTAATGCGAGTTACAGCCAGGTGGGGCGGAGGCCGAGGCGAAAGACGAGGCGGCGGCGTTTGAAAAGATGGAAGAAACGACAGCGGGGAGGAAGCCTCTGCTGTATGAGCATTCGCCCGATGGGGGCGCGTTTCTAGCCGCGCAGCCTATACCCAGGTGTGGGGCGTTCTGCTATCTAGCGGTCGTGGCGAGGAAGCCAGAAGCTGATTAATAATTAGAAAATGTTTTACATCAAATTTAATATTTTTGACTGAGTAGGCAACCAATAATACACACTTTTTTAAAATTCAAGTTTCGAAGTATTTTTATTAGACATCAATTATTTTGTCAGTTTTGATTCAAGTTAAACGGACTTTGTGTAAAAGCTACCATGAGACACATTTGGTACGTTTAGGGCTCATATATATCGTTCACGGTGCCACCAAACCTAACCTCACTTTTTCCAAATATGAAATAAACATAGAATTGACTTGCTCGTGTTAGTGAACAAAGACCAGCCCCTCCCTGTGTTCGATAAAAGACAACAGGGCATTAGGTAAGTACCTTATTTCAATTTTTTCTCTTCTAAAACTTGCTTGTGTTTTTACATGAGGCTTGACTCTAATGGATTTTTCAGATTTTTAAAATAGAGTGTCTTGTTCATTGTCATTTCATTGTTTTCACAAATTTCAGAACATGTGGTGAAAAAAAAAATCATATACCCCGGTTTTTTCTTTCAAAAATAAGTGGAAAATGTCAGTTTCGAAGTGTAACTTGAGTTGGTAGTGTAGCAATCTGTAAAGATTTAAAATTCTAATTTTTTATAAAGGTAAATAAATTTAACAGAAAACAGTAATAACATTAATTATAATAGCTTAGTTCTTTGGATAAACAAGCGAAAATGTAAGAGTTTTCAATTTAGTACATAGTAACTTTTATTATTTAATAGTTGGCACCTTGGACGCAGTTAAAGCACCGGTTGGTATCTCTAAATGCAAAAAAATGTCCAACAGTAGCAGTAGTGAGGAGGAACTCTATGATATCGACTGGGTAACAATTAGAACACAATTTTTTGCCACTTTTAATGAATTACCTACTTTTCAGGATGCTTCAGGTTTTGATGTTTTTGATTTTTTGGACCCGTTAGTTTTGTCGCCCCAAATTCAGGCAGTTTTGCAAAATGATCTCGTTGAGCTTTCTCGCCTTTTGCAAGAAGGAAAATCGGTCAATGTCAATGATAACAGGGGTAACACTCCTCTTCACCATGCCATTGAATTACAATTAACATCAGTCTTTGACTATTTAATCGAAGTCGAGGATATTCGACTCGATGCCGTTAATTTCATAGGTGAAACCCCCTTATTACTCGCCGTGAGGTCTAGTAATTTGTATTACATTCACAAATTGTTACAAAAGGGGGCTGACCCCAATTTTTCGTCTCCTGACAGAGACTTTTATTTACACAAAATTAGAGATGTTGCCATTACGCGTTTGTTTTTGGAACATGGAGCTGATATCGACGTCCAGGATGGGAGCGGTTGTACTCCTTTGTTTAATGCTTGTGAAAGGTGGGATGAAGAGTTGGTGCATATGTATATATACTATGGGGCTGATGTTACGATTACAAATTATTTGGGATTTTTGCCTTTTGATGTTTGCCCAGAGAATGTTGAGAATCTTTTTTATTTAACTTTTGATCAATACACTGAAATCAGTTTGGTCACTTTGTGTCATGTAATAACGAAAAAATCTCCGTATCTTAACACAATTGTTAAGCTTACAAAAAATACGGTGTACACTAAAAAACAAATGAAAGAATTGTGGGAGATTTTAAGTTCACCGTACTATTTTTCCAAATTAATACGTCCCGAAGTGAGCCATGAATTGTTATCAATGCAAATCTGTTTAATGAATTGTGAAACACAAACCCCTGAAATACACACTTTTGAAGATATTTTTTTGATTATTTTATTTGAATGTATTAAGGAAGATTTTCATTTGGAATTGGAATATCTCTGCCACACGTTTCCACCAGATGTTTTAACTAAATTTGTTTGTTATTCCGCAAGTTACGGAACAGAAGTCACTCCCCGATGCTTGAATCTAATTTATTATGAATTTGGTTTTTGCGAATTGTATCGATTCTTATTGCATTTTGCCAAAATTGAATACAATTGTTACTCCAATAGATACTGGGGAAGGAATTTTATGCCCTCTTTAACCTACATTCTTAATTTAAATATCAATATGCTCGAGAAATTACAGGAAGACGATCTTGACGAAGAGTGTTTCGCACGATTGTCGAAATTTTTTAATCTTGTCAAATTCCAAGATAAGTTTCCAAGTTTTTTCGAAAAGTTTAAACTAGGAGAATCTTCAGCAGTGCCTTCTTTGGTCGAACTGAGTCGAAATTCTGCTCGCCAATTTATCATCTCCAAGTTTAATGTGAAGAAAACTGTACAGTTTTTTACTGTTGTGCACCACATTCCTATTCCTAATATTGTGAAACAAATTATCACTTATGAGAAAGAAATTTATGCTTAAGTTTTGTTGTTTCTTGTGACGTATTAAATAAATTTATGTTTTTTATATTGAAAATGTATCTTTCTTATTTGGTGTTATCGGTTGTAGTCACAAAAAATTTGACAATAATCACAAAAATTTGCTCGTAGTTTAAAAAGAGTAAAAAATGGAGCAGAGTCACAAAAAATTGAGCAAAAACTGGTTGTGGCCACAAAAAGTTAATCAAAAAACCGGTTGTGGTCGCAAAAAATTCAACAAAAAACCGCTTTTCAAAAATGAAAAAATTCTCTGGGGTAACAAAAACTGAAAAAAAAATTCAAGACAAAAATTACGAAAATCCGCTCGCCGACTAAAGAGATTAATAATTGTCCGAGGTTACAAAAAAAAAACTAGAGCAAGGTCACGAAAAATGATCAAATATTCGGTTATAGTCGCAAAAAATCGGTTGTGGTCACAAAAAATTTGACAAAAAACCGTTTGGCAAAAATCATAAAAATTCGCTGGTAGTTTAAAGAGATTAAAATTGATCGAAAATACAAAAAAATGGAGCAAAGTCACAAAAAATTGAGCAAAAAACTGGTTGTGGCCACAAAAAGTTAAGCAAAAAACCGGTTATGGTCGCAAAAAATTCAACAAAAAAACACTACAAAAATGCAAAAATTCTTTCCCGGTGGAGATTAAAAATTGTCTGAAGTGTCACAAAAACTGAGAAAAAAATTCAACAAAAAACCGTTTGGCAAAAATAACAAAAATACGCTGGCCGTCTAAAGAAATTAAAATTTGTCCGAGGTTACAAAAAAACCTAGCAAAAACTAGAGCAAGGTTACAAAAAATGACCAAATATTCGGTTATAGACGAAAAAAATCGATTGTGGTCACAAAAAAATTGACAAAAAACACTTTGTCAAAAATCACAAAAATTCGCTCGTAGTTTAAAGAAATTAAAAATTGTTCGAAAACACAAAAAAATGGAGCAAAGTCACAAAAAATTGAGCAAAAAACCGGTTGTGGCCACAAAAAGTTAAGCAAAAAACCACTTTTTTGTCCAAGGTTACAAAAAAAACTAGCAAAAACTAGAGCAAGGTCACAAAAACTGAGAAAATATTCGGTAATAGTCACAAAAAATCGGTTGTGGTCACAAAAAATTCAACAAAAAACCGCTTTTCAAAGATGCAAAAATTCTCTCGTGAGATTAAAAATTGTCTGGGGTCAAAAACAGAGAAAGAATTTAACAAAAAACCGATTGTCAAGAATTTGATTAAAAATTGTCCGAGTCGCCAAAAAAAATTGAGGAAAAAAAAATAGTTGTGGTCGCAAAAAATACAAAACCCAGATTGATTTAATGAATTTATTTGCAGCAAACGTCGTTACGACAAATCAAGGTACATAAAAGAGTTACATAATGTATATACAAAGAACACTTAATAATTGTATGAATTAATAGGTACTTAAAATAAAAAGCTTTTGAATAAAGAGTTAAATAATGTAATTGTAATTTGTAACACATTACACTTAATGAATATTTGTATCACTCAGATCGTCCTAAGAAGGCCATAGATTCGTCTGGAGAAGTTAAATACCAGACGCTGATTACATCTAATACAGAAGAATTATTCTATGTACAAAATAAAAACTTAATGTAATGGGATACTAAACTTTAGTAATACATATTGCAGTTGTACAAACTTAAAAAAATTTGAACAGAGTAATATAGAAATCTACATTATTAACAATATCCTCAGGAAACTCTGCTCGCCTTACAAACTAATAAATACTTTGTTATGTACACTTAGTAAATAATTTAATTTCTGAAACAGAATTTTTGGGGAATGTTAACTTTGGTATCATTTTGTTGGTAAAGTTGTATTATAACTAAACAAGACAATATTAATAAATATTTAAAAAACTAAACAATTCTTCAAAGAGAAAAGAAAAAGGCCCAACTCCCTCACTGAGCAAGTTCGTTGTTCATTCAGTATTGCAGCAACGAAAGAAAAAAAATCCCTAAACGAAACAAAAACCAGATATCACAAGGCAGTGAAGAATACGTATTTCGTGTTGATGCTATGTGTAAGTAAGTATGTGCAAACATCTAATTGACACCGTTTACATATCGTCTATGTAAAGATTTGAGAAGAAAACAGAAATTATTTTAAATATTAAAATAATAACCGCAACAGAAACGCAATAACAATTCATTATTAAACCGGAGACCGATCCCCATTGGGGCTGTAGTCCTTCAACAGCTCCCTCAACCTAATAATCTCCTTTTTGGCCGCCTCCAAGTCCCCTTGCAGACTCAGCTCTTTCTCCCTCAACCGTTTGATGTCCCGTTGACAACTCTGCAACAAAAATTTACTTTTTTAATTATTGATTTAGTAAATAGTCAAAAATGAAGATACTATTTTGCACGATTTTTTAGCCAAATGCTAGATTTTCTGAAAAACAAGTTGAAAAATCGAGAGATAAATGATATATAGATGAAAATCGCTAAAATGGGTCAAAAAGTACGTTATTTTGACCATTTCTGAGCGTTTTAGTATGTTTTTAGTCAGAAACAGAACTATTTTGTAAAATTTTGTTAAAAACAAACCGAAAATTTATCGAATTAGGCCAAAACTAGTGTTATTTTTGCATTTAAAGAGTGTTTCAGCACGTTTTTAAAATACACTCAAATTTTTGCTAAAACTGACCAAATTACCAAATTAGATTGAAATTGATATCATTTTAGCGTCTCGCTTCATTTAGTTCGTTTTTGAACTAAACTGAACTGTTATTTTGCTTTTTGCACGTTTTCGAAATAAAAACTATTTTTTTTTGATTTTTCTAAAAATGTTGATAAAATTGATACTATTTTAGCTTGTTTCGCTCGATTTAGTTTGTTTTTGAACCAAAGACTTGCACGATCTTGTCAAAACTCGCCTAAAAATCACAAAAACGAATCTAAATTGATGATAATTTTGTCTATTTCACTCGATGTAACTGATTTTTGAGCAAAAATTAATCAAAAAAAAAAACTAAAAATGGGTCAAAAGTAGTGTTATTTATAACTTTCTCAAGCATGTTTTTAAAGCCTCATTTTTTGCAATATTGTACTAAAACTAATGAAAAAATTACCAAATTAATTCCAAAATTATTATTTTTCTCTTTCTTGAGCGTTTCAACACGTTTTTTGGCCAGAATCGCAATTATTTCGCAATTCGCAAGAACTTGTGAAAACAAGCCTCAAAATCAGAAGAACAAATCAAAATTCTGGTATTTTCTTTGTATCACTTAATTTAACTAGTTTTTTTTAGTAAAAAGTAATCAAAAATAAGCAAAAAAATCGGAAAATTTTATCGAAAACTACTTTTGTAGTTGAAAACGCGTTTTCCAACTAAAATCTTACGTTTTTTGTAAGATTTTTCTAAAACAAACCAAAAAATTACCACATTAACTAAAAAATCAAATGATTTTTACCTTTTTCAAGTGTTTTAGGACTTTTTTCAGATGAAATTTTAGCAAATTAGGTTAAAAATAGTATTATTTTTGCTTTATTCGAATGGCTAAGAGCGTTTTTAAGATAAAAACAAATTTTAACAACAATTTTTTCTAAAATTGTCTAAAAAATTACCAAATTAGATTATTAGGGACATTATTTTAGCTTGTTTCGCTCGATTTAGTTCGTTTTTGAACCAGAGACTCATTTATTTTGCAGGATATTGTCAAAATATGTTTAAACACAACAAAAATAAATCTAAATTGATATTATTTCGTTTGTTTCATTCGATTTAGCTCTTTTTGAGTGAAATTTTGTCAAAGAAATAGGACGAAAAATACAAAATATGGTCGAAAATGGTGTTAATTGCAAGATTTTGCTAAAATAAACCAAAAAAACATCAAATCATTATTTTTGCCTTTATCAAGTGTTTTAGCATGTTTTTCAAGTAAAAACGTAAATATCGGGTGACTATAAATGATTTTGTGTCAAATTTAAAATTTAATTTGGCAACCTTGACTTTCAAATTCAAACGTTAAACTAGCCAAAAAATTAAAATAGCGTTACCTATTTTTGAATTTTACGGGCGATTAAGCATGTTTTTGACAAGATTTGCGAATTAAAAAAAATTAAATCATATAATCTTGTAATCGAGTGAAAATAAAATGTGGTAACTTTTCAGTTCAGATCTGGTAAATTTAATTGCATTGAACTGGCAACACTAGTGGCAACCTAGCGAAAATTCAACCAATCCTAACCTCAATCTTCCTTAATAATTGTTTTTTTTAAATAAATGTGTACCCGAGGTAGCAAAAATTAGTTAAACAGGGTAGCAAACCCAGATTTTCATCATTATTGATGTGATTAAATTTGTTTTGAAAGACTTTAATGACAATTTTCATGTGAATCGGCCTTTAAAAATTCAATAAAAGAGACTTACCACATTCTGTCTCAACAAATCCAGTTTATCACACTTGAGTTTCGCCACTTCTTGTGCTAGCACCTCGGTGGTGCTGGGGCCCGTGGTGCTCGTCGGCCGCTCCTGACACACACTGCAGGCCTTCGCCGCCGTTTCCGCACTCGACATGCTCTCCAAGCCGGTGTCACTATCGACGTAGCCCCCTTGGAGATGCTCCTCCAGGTCCTCGCTGGTGAGCGACGAGTCGTCACTGGCCTCCGAGAGTGCAGCATGCGCCGTGAGGTCAGGCGAAGACGCCGTCGACGAATTCGCACTCTTCTTCCCATTCGAAACAATCGAACTTTTCGACAGCGAACGCCCACTCTGCGAAAAAAATTCGTTACCGAGGCGAAGCCGAGCCATTGCCACCACTCACCGATGGCGTCGATTCGGAAATGGTCGGTTGACTTGACTTTTTCGACAGTCTTTCGTGTCCATTCGCATTGGACAAGTTATTATCGACACTTTGACTCGATTTGACACGAGCACTCCAGGCCTTTTTCACCGTGTCGATGAAGCGGGATCCGGGCCCGGAGTCGCTTTTGGGGGTTCCGGGCACGACGGTGGCGCTGCCGCCCAGAAATTCCGTCGTTTTCTCTTTGAGATCGTCGGTGAGGGTGTGGAGGAGGGAGGTGCGAGTGCGGAGCTCCAATTTGGCGAATTTTTCGGCTTTGTAACAGGCGTTTTCGGCGTTGATCAGTTTCGTCAAGAGGAACTCTTTGAATTCGGGGCCGTGACGGAAGACGGCCGGCGTCGGGAGCGTCGGTCCGAAGAAGGGGACGTCGTCACGCGCCGTCACGCTCACTTTGTACCTAAAAAAAGAAATACGGATTGAATTACCGGTTGAAATAAGATAAGAAATCGTATGAGTCATTCGAAAGACATTCCTCATGTTTCTAGTTTCGTCATTTTTATTATTGAGTAACTGTAAATAACTGTTTTTTCAAAGGTTGGCAACACATTTCTAATCTTAATTTGGCAACCATGACTGTCACATTTCTCATATGAAACCATCTAAAATCAGAGACAAGAGTCTTTTATACTATTTTTTAGGTTTGTGCTTTT